ACACCACCTCGTCGGCGCCGACGGGGATGAGGCGGCCGTCCTCCCAGACGTGCGTCGCCCCGTACACCGACGCGGGCTCGGGGTAGTCCATGCCGAAGTCCTCCGCGAGGGCGTCCGAGCAGAACTGGTAGAAGCTGTCGGCCAGGTCGAGCGAGGCACCGTAGATGGCGGGCGCCGAGGCCGCGTCGGAGGCTCCCAGGGCGGCGTCCGACCAGTCCTGCTCCGCGAGCGCGGCCGGGGTCCCGAGGGCAGCGTGCGGAGGACTCCAGTGGGTCCGGTTCGTCTCGCGGGCGTCGACCACGAGCCTGATGAACCCACCCTTCTTCTCGACGAAGAAGCAGCCCACGCGAGCACGAATGCGCCGACGGTAGCCGACAAGGCCTCGCTCCGCCAGGCGGCGAACGAATCTGACCCGCGCGTCGGGCGAGCCAGCGAGGTGAGGGTCCCAGTAGGGCACGATGGGGTCGAGCCCCTCCGCATCCGCCAGGAAGACCCTGTCCGGCTTCCGCACGTACCGATCGGGGTCGGCGAAGGCGCGGACGACGAAGTCGGGGCAGATGTCCTCGACGCACTTCGGGACGATCTTCGACTTCCAGAACTTGAGCTTGTCCTCGCAGTAGGGTGCGACCTTGGAGGGCGCCCCGGCGTACAGCGAGTCGGACTTGAGGAGCTCCTGAAGGGCTCCGCGAGGTGTGAGCCCAGGCGGCCGCGGGCCGTGCCGGCCGATGTTGCGACGCAGGTGAGCGAGGCAACTGGCCTGCGTGGCGGAGGGCGCGCCGGGCGTGGTGGAGCCACGGGCTGGCACGCTGCCGAACCCGTGGACCGAGGCTCGGGAGAGGTCGTTGATCGAGCGAACGGCCTCCCGAAGTCGGTGTTCGCGACAGCGACGACGTACGGCACGGAGGGCCAGATACCTCGGCGCGTCAGCCAGGTCCACGAACCCGGAGGGCTGCGGGACCGGAAGGGGCAGAGGCTCACCATGACGGCGATGATCGCGACGAGCCATGCCGAAGAAGCCAAAACTGCGGACGTGGAGGAGCCCACGCCGAGAGGGCCGGCCCAGCGGCGCGGGGCGGTGCACCCGCGGGCTGGGACGGCAGGGTAGGGGGCCCCTCGCCCGCCTACCCACTGCCCTCCTTCTTGGGATGCTTCGGCGGCTTGTCCTTCGAGCCGCCCGCCGAAGTCTCCTCCCGCCACTGCCTCCCCGCCTTCATGATGGCCGCCTCGGACCGCTGCTGCTCGCCGACCCAGGCGTCGAAGGCCGGGAGCACGAAGCCGCCGGACTCGTCGATGGCGGCGTCCAGCACCACGTCGAGCCCGTCGAAGTCGGGCTGCCTCGGGTTCCGCCTGGTGGCGGCCTCGAGCTGCTTCAAGCGGCGCACCATGTACTCCACCCCCGCCACGTTGTAGAGGTCGAGCTGGTCGAACTGCTGCATGATGCGGAGCACCGAGCAGAGCATCCGGTGCTCGCGGGCGGTGTTGCTCTTCTCCGGGATGCCGGACCTCCTGACCCACGTCGTGTGGTGTTCGTCCCAACCCTCCTGTCCGGCATCCCGAAGAGCGAGGCAAGCCTCGCGCGTAGCCCGTTTCCCCTTGAGGGGCCACCCAGGGACGGCCTGCTCGCGCATCTTCGAGACCGAGGTGCGGAAGCTCATGAAGCGGTCCTTCTCCTCGTCCCGCTCGTCGCCGGCAATGCGCGGGTCGCGACCAGGCCCTCCACGAGCCCGAGCCTGCCACTCCTCGAAGGAGCCGCCGGCCTCGACCCGCACCGCTGTCTGCCACACATCGTCGATGAGCACAAGGCCCACCTCGCCCCGGCGGATGAGCAGCTCGTCGTTGCCCATGGCGGCCGCGGGCACCTCCTCCCCGTAGTGGAGCGAGGTCGGGTCCGAGACGAACCAGCGCTCGTCCCCGGCGAGGGGGGCGGCCGAGGCAGGGTACCCGAGGATGTCCCCCAGCGCCCGCGCCTCGCGGTAGTACTGATGCATCTCTGCGGCGTCCACGTCGGCATCGTCGAAGACGTACATGTTGCCCCGGTGGCGGTCGGGGAAGGCGCCCCCCCGCTGGAGGGCGCACACGCGCAAGCCACCCAGGTTGGCCGCCGCAATCTCCCCGTCGGGCGTGACCCAGACCCACCATTGGTCCGGCCCTTTGACGAGGAGGACCCTGTGGTGCCACTGGAAGTTCTCGTCGTCGTCGTACCGCACCAGGCACTGGGCGTAGGGCACGTCAAGCGCCCTCGGCATTCACGGCACCAGCCCGCCTCCGCACTCGCTGGAGGGTCGCCGGCGTCGCCGCACCCGCGCGCTCCCCAGCAGGGCCCTCCGCGAGGGCCAGCGGCGGCAGGACGGCGCGAGGCGCCCCCGCCCGAAGCAGCCAGGCGGCCGCAGCGGCCACGCCGGCGGCGAAGCTCGCGAGCCCGACGAGGACCGCGAGCGCCCAGGCCCCGCACGGAGCCGCTGGGGCCGGGCACTGCGGACAGACGCAGGCCGGGCACGCGGGGCAGGCCGCCCCGAGGTGCTCCGGGCCGCAGCGCGAGAGCTGCTCCCGGAGGATGTCCAGCACGCCCGAGCTCGGCTCGTGCCCGCTGAAGACGCAGGTGCAGGACGGGTCCGCGGGCGGCGCCGGCGCGGACCAGCGGGACGCGAGGATCCCAAGAACCCAGCCAGCCGCCGCCTGCATGCACGGGGCGGCGAGACTGGTGCCCAAGAAATCCTTGAGCAAAGAGGGGCTGTAGAGAGTTCTGTTCAGCCGTATCCTGGTACGGCACACGGTGGGGAGGCCCGCTGGACAACACATAGCGCGCGAGCACGTACAATACATACATACATACATACATACATACCTTCCTACCTACCTATCTTCCTACCTACATACATACATACATACATACATACATCCATCCATCCATCCATCCATCCATCCATCCATCCATCCATCCATCCATACATACATACATACATACATACATACAGACAGACAGACAGACAGACAGACATACATACATACATACGTACGTACGTACGTACATACATACATACATACATACACACACACACACACACACACCTGGTTGGGGTCGCGCCGAGGAGGAGGAGGGAGGGAGAGAGGGAGAGATGGCGGGAGAGAGAGAGAGAGAGGGAAGGAGAAAGAGAGAGAGAGAGAGAAAGAAAGACAGAGGGAGAGAGGGGAAGGCGCCGGGGGGGGGCCGCAGTCACCGGGCCGAGGGCATCCAGGTGGCTGCCAGCGGCTCCTGGGTCAACGAGTCGAGGCGAGGGAGTTCTGGCGGTGGAGGTGGCCCGTGGGCAATCAAGGAGGGCGAGGGCATCAAGCTGGATGCAGGGACGGCCCGTCTTCTGCTGGCGCGGGGCCGTCTCGCGGGCAGGCCTTCCCAGCAACCACACGTCCTCTTCTCCTCCTCCTTTTCCTCCTCCTTCTCCTCCTCCTTCTCCTCCTCCTCCCGCTGCTCCTCCTCCTCCTCCTCCTACTCCTCCTCCTCCTCCTCCTCCTCCTCCTCCTGCTCCTCCTCCTCCTCCTCCTTCTCCTCTTCCTCCTCCTCCACCTCCTCCTCCTCCTCCTCCACCCCCGTTCTTACAAGAACGTCCTCGCCGCACCCCGAGACGTGTCGGTATGGCGGGCTGGACGTTTCGCCAGACTTCCCCATAATGTATGACCCTGAAGGTTAAATTTGCAACATATTCACGGATGGAGGACGGGCCGGTTTCAACATGTGGCTCTCGCCTTAGCAACGCCCACATTCGTTTTAAAAGCTCGCATGAGTTTCACGGACGGACTGCGGGTGCGTTTCCACATGTGGTTTCAGTATGTGGTTCTCACCTGACCGCCGCACACATTCGTCTTGAAATGTTGCAAGAGCTTCACGTCTGGAGGGTGCCTCCGTTTCAATATGTGGCTCTCGCCTTAGCAACGCGCACATTCGTCTTGAAATGCTGCATGAGCTTCACAAATGGAGGGCGGGTGGTGTTCAAAATGTGGCTCTCGCCCTAGCTCCGCGCAGATTCGTCTTACAAGTTCGCAAACTGTTTCAAGATGGAGGGCGGGTCTTTTTCAAAAACTGGTTCTCGCCCAAGCGCCACGCACATGCACCCTAAAAGTTTACAACCCTCTAACGGGTTCGTATGGCTGACGTCCCAGGAATAGTCCTCTGGCACGATTTAGGATCGTCAAGGCGCAACGGTCACGTTGATCCCCAGTGTTGAACTCCACGGAGTGGTTCACTGGCACGATGTAGGACCGTCATCACGCAACAATAAGATTGATTCGCGGCGTGGAAGTCCAAGGAGTGCTGTTTGGGCGGGATTGAGGATTATTAGACGGTTGTCTTGAGGCTTATCAAACGTTTGTCTTTCAACGGGACACTTCCAGCAGTGTATATCAACTATTGCAAGGAACTCTGAGGAAAGAACTTGCAGGGAGGGTTTATTGCAGCATCGTTGGTGCGTCTTGTGTTTACACTGGTCCTCCTCCTCCTCCTCCTTCGAGAACCCGATCAGAATGAGGTATGACAGCCTCCAGCCTCAACGACACGGGCCCTGGATTGTCCCACGCCGCACGAGCCGTTCAATGTCTTCAGCAACCTCGTTCTCGGAGACCCGAGCCTCCCTCTCGCGTGGACCTCGCGCCGAGGGTACAATCTCTGACGGCCTCAGGGCACGAGATAAGCCACAACCAGAAGGCACTCGCCCTTGAACGCTCGAGACGGCGTCGCCGCCGCGTCGAGGCGGCGCAAGCCCGCCGCTAAGCCCCGTGAGACAGGGGATCGGAATCGTTAGACCCATCCCCTTCCCCACTGGGAAAGCCTCCGCCCGCTGTCCCGCGTGCCCCCCTGGACCACTGGGGATGGAGGCATTCGCTGCTCGTTCTGGGAGGACATTCTGGAGCCCCTCGCTCCACTCATGCGTCGATGCTGCGTCGAACGTCAGTTAAATTGAGTCGAACGTGGGCCGAACTAGAGGTAAACTTGAGTCGAACAGCCGCTCCTCGACCACACGCAGGTACCTCGCGTTCCAGCCGCTCTCCTTCTGCAGCTGCCGCAGCTGGCGGGCGGCGGACTGCCACCTCGGACGGCTGGCATCCTGCCCATGCTGTTCCTCATGCTGCCTTGGTTGCTTCTCCTCCTCCTACGCCGGCGCCTCATATTGCTTTTCCTCTTGATCCTCCTCCTCCTCCTCCTCCTCCTCCTCCTCCTGTTCCTCCTCCTCCTCCTCCTGTTCCTCCTCCTTTTCCTCCTTCTCCTTCTCCTCCTCCTCCTCCTCCTTCTCCTTCTCTTCTTCCTCCTCCTCCTCCTTCTCCTCCACCTCCTCCTCCACCTCCTTCGACTCCTCCTCCTCCTCTCCTCTTCCTCCTCCTCCTCGTCTCTCCTCCTCTCCTCCTCCTCCTCCTCCTCCTCCTCCTCATCCTCCTCCTCCTCCCCCTTCTCCTCCTCCTCCCCCTCTCCTCCTCCTCCTCCTTCCTCCTCCTCCTCCTCCTCATTCACCTCCTCCTCTATCCCTCACGCGTATTCCTCCTCCTCTTCCTCCTCATCCTCCTCTCCTCCTCCCCTTCCTCCTCATCCTCCTCCTTGCTCCTGCTCCTCGTCCTCGTCATCCTCCTCCTCTTCTTCCTCCTCCTTCTTCTCGTCCTCCTGCTCATCATCATCAGCATCACCACCACCACCAGCATCTTCTTCTTCATCATCATCAGCACCATCATCGTTATCATCATCTGATTCGCGTTATGACTACTATTGGTAGCGTGTATCATTAGTATTACGCCTCTAATTGATAGTATGAGTAATACAACCCCTATTTGTAACATCATTAGTACTAGTATCATTGTTACTACCATTCAGAACAATATTATGGGTTCCCCTTCTTCTGACCAGTCTTCGTATTATTTGTTTCGTAATCGTAGCATCATTTTTATCATTCATAAAATTGGTATTCTTATTATAAACCATAGTTTTATTCGTAGTAGTAGTAGTCGTTGTGGTAGTAGTAGTAGTGGTAGTAGTAGTAGTAGTAGTAGTAGTAGTAGTAGTAGTAGTAGTAGTAGTAGTAGTAGTAGTAGTAGTAGTAGTAGTAGTAGTAGTAGTAGTAGTAGTAGTAGTAGTAGTAGTAGTAGTAGTAGTAGTTGTAGTAGTAGTATGTGTTATGTATACTCTTCATATTCCTAATATTAGTATGATTGTTCCTCCTCCTCATCCTCCTCGGCCTCCTCCTGTTCTTCCTCCTTTTCCGCCTCCTTCTCCTCGTCCTCCTCCTCATCATAATTTTCCTCATCCTCCTCCTCCTCCACCTCCTCCTCCTCATCTTCTTCTGAATAATGAGTAACTCCTCCCTGTCGCACCTGCAGACATGTCGGCACGGCGGGCCAGGCATTACTTTCACCTGAAAGGCTCTCACCATGTATGGTCCTGAAGCTTGAGTTGTGCAGCAGCTTCACGGATGGAGGGCGGGTCCACTTAAAAATGTCGCTCTCGCCTGAGCAACGAGCACATTCGTTTGAAAAGAACGCAACAGCTTGACGGACGGAGGGC